ATAAATTCCTGTCCATGTGCTATACTAAATAGAGTTGCTTATCATGGTCTTTTGGCATTCTGTTAGCATCCCTCCAGCCCATGTAAATTTTTAGAAGTCTTTAATGCCTCTGTTTTTCTTACAGTGTGTCACATCCTTAATCACTTTGCCATGCATCTTCCATTCACTGTGGCTCTAGTTCTGAGCTAGGTCCATGCGGATGGAGAAGAGTTGCCGAATAAGATGATGTTAGTGAGAAGCTGAGCTGAAGTCTCGGTTTCCTTTAACAGTTCAGGCATGAGAATGAGAGAATATTTCATAGGGACGACAAGAAACCTGATGTGAACTTTGAAAGCAGGACATGGCAGTCAAGGGAGGTAAAATGTCTCAGAGATGAGAACCAGTGGGTATGTCTGAGAGACAGTGCCTTCCGGTGGCATTCCCCTGTCCACACACCACCTCACAGCTGCCGCTTTACCCCTTTCCTATAGTACCACTGGCCAGCTCTCATACCCGTGGTCCAGACCATTACAAGGGTTATGATTCCACGCAAAGCTTTGTCTATAATCACAGAGAGACTATGATCATTTAATTCCTTTTCTCTTAAAGTCAGATTTGATCAGCGCCGTGTTATTCTTCCTTCCAAAGCCCCCCCTCCCGTTAAGTGAGAATAAAACCCCATCCCATTACCATGACCAACCAATCCCAACACAATCCACGCCAAAAGTGTCTGCTTAATCTCCAAATGTTGTATCCCTTTTTCTTGGCTTCATGTCATGTGTCTTGTTCCCTAAATCAGGATTGGAGGAAAAATGCAACAGAGACATTTGCTTAGCACCATGCAGCTGACATCCATTTTTCACTCAACTCTTTAAAATAATCTTTGTCTAGAAGGTATAATGTCTATGTTAAAAATTCCACTGAATTCTGGAGCATGGGAGGTCAGGGAGGGTGTAAGTGATTGTGAGAGTTTAGCACCAATTCATGTCTTCTGGCCACCATTTCAAAGAGGAAGGACAATATTTATAGTTAATGATAGATGAAACACGTTGATCAAATGTCAAAGCCCGGATGAATAAGGAAATAATGGTGTCATAAAACTGGTAACTGCAGAGTCCAGGAAAGAGGCACAAAAAAGATGGCAGAGCCTAAGTCCCTGCTTGGAGGCTGCACAGTGACAAATGGCTCTGGGTCCTGGGTCCGCAGCACAGCTAGATCAAACCAGATGAGTCACCTCAACTCCCCAAGTCTCAGATTTCTTTCCTGAAGAAAAAGTGGGGGTTTTGTATGAGCTTATGTTTGGCAAAGAAGTCTTAAAAACCACACTGAAGGCACGATCTTCAAAGAAAATAAGCCTGGTAAGTGGATGCTATCAACACCTTATTAAGACAATTAAAAGAACTCATTTACAGACGTACAAAGATTTTTAAATTCAATATTAAGAAAACAAGCAACCTTTTAAGTGTGTGTGTGTGTGTGTGTGTGTGTGTGTGTGTGTGTGTATAGGTGCATACATGTGTGGAGGTGAGTGTTGGCTGTTTTTCTCTATCATTCTTCACATTACTTTTCAGGCAAGATCTCTTATTGAACCTGGAATTTACCAATTGGCTAAATCAGCTGGCCAGTCAACTCCCTTGGATCTCCTAGTCTTAGGCTCCCAGTACTGCAGGGATTGTTGTGCCTGGCTTGGTATATGGGTGCTGTGACCTAAACTCAGGTCCTCAAGTTTGCAGGGCAAGCATGTCACACCACTGAACAGTCTTCCCTGCACTAACTTTCCTTTTAAGTGCGAGACATATTTGTCCAAAAACTTTATCAAAAAAGATATAGAAAGTCAAAACTCACTACAAGAAGCTTGGGTATCGTTAACAGTTAGGGAAATGCAAAAGCCAACAGCAATGAGACAGTAATGCAAATCTACCATTCTCAGTGCTGAGCATGATGCAAATGGTTTAGAGCGTTCAGAGACATTTGATCACAATGTAGAATGTCACAAAATGTAAAGGTCTCAGGAGCCGTCTGTAAATGTCTTCTAACATTAGATATGCATATACCATGAACCCCAGCCATTTCACTCCTAGACTTTTGCCTACAGAAAGTGAATGTCCATATCTGTACAAATACTTAAACATCAATGTTTGCTTTATCCATGAGCTAGAAAAAAACGTCTACCGACAGAAAACAAATGAATAAATGGTAAATGTTTATATAATGGACCCTGCTTGGTGGTAAGAAGAAATGCCCTGATGGGGCAGGATAAGGGAGTAGTGGATGGGGATACATGGGGAGGGGGTGGTAGATGGGGAGTTAATGGGGGTGAGTAGGGGGTGGATGGAGGAACAGATGCGAGAGTGGATTAGATGAGTGAGTGAAAGTGAGTAAGAGGGGACATGGCAACGGTGGTTGGATGAGAAGTTGGTAGAGTGTAGATGACGATGTACAGGGAGTATGCTGTGGATAGAGGGAGGAAGGGTGAGCACCAGGTGAAAAGTGATCAGGGCTCAGGGCATAAATGGGGTCAAACCGGTTGGAAATGGGTAGATGGAGATGCATGAGCATGGACATACATGGTAATGAATAGGGCTGGGTGGGAAGTAAATCTAGGGTTGGATGGAAGTGGGAGGGGAATGTATGAGAGTAGATGGGGAGGGGTTGCTGGTGGGTAGTGCATGAATGGATGGGTGGAAGCTGGCTGGATGGTGGCTATCAGTAAATGGTGATTGATTGGCATGAATGGAGGTGTATAGGGAGGGGCAAATGAAGGTAGATAAGATGTGGGTGGTGAGCAGCTGAGGTGGATAACGATGGATGGGCTACATGAAGAATCGGTGGAGGTGGACAGAGGATGGATGGGGTTTGATAAGAGCAGATGCAGGTGGATGGTGGGCGAATGTGGGTTTAATGAGGCATCGCTGTATGGGGTAAATGGAATATTGGAGAACGTAGATGATGGATAGACAATGGAGTGGAGTATGTGGAAGGGAGTGTAGATGATGGTGTGTGGAAGGGTATTAAGGGATATCCAAGACAGGTGGAAGAGGTGGATAATGGTGAATAGTGGGAGAGAAATTGAAGGAGTAGGCAGGTGTGTATGTGTGTGTGTGTGTGTGTGTGTGGTGGGCCAGGGTTTGGAGTGTGTGGAGCGACAGTGTATGGAGAGGGCTGAAGCAAAGCAGATGACTTGGTGAACTGTACAGGAGGTGTGGAGCAGGGTGGTGGAGGGAGGAGGTACTGGCTGTGATGGAGAGAATGGAGGAGTGTAGGTGGGAGGGTAGGGCTTGGGCAGCGTGCTGGGGATTGGGTCAGTGGTGCAGCAGTGTGTGCATAGGGGTTACAGAGGGACAGCAAGAGGGCACAGAAGGAAGTAGATGGTGGTTTGCTGACAGGAGGGATGGTGTGGGAGTACAGGAAATATTAGAAAGTACTAGATGGGTGAGAGATGGAAGCTGGAGAGGCTTTTGAGTGGAGGTGACCCAGGATGTCAGGAGTGGCTGACAGGAAGTTGATAGGAAGGATGTGGGTGGGACATGGTGAAAGTATGTGGGTGTGTGTGGTTGAGGGCGCATGGCGGGAGAGGGGAGGGAATGGTGTTGAGGGCGGTCGGGGGTGTATGGAGGAAATGTTGTGTACGGGGTGTGGTGGGAGTGGGTATAGCAGGGGCGTACAGAGGGAACGTGGATGGGATGTGTGAGGATGGGACGAGGAGCAGGGACACAGCGATGGGGAGAAAGGGAGGCGCACGAATGGAAGAGATGGAGGGGAGTACAGAGGAGGGACAATGAGGGAAAGGGGAGGAAGAGGGAGGGATGGGGAGGAGAGAAAGAAGGGAGGGCAGCAAGGGAAAAGAAGATGAGGAAAAAGAGGGGCGGTACATGGAGGGGAGAAATATGGGGAGAGGGCCCAGGGATGGATGGAGAATGAGGAGGGGAGGTAGAGGCAGAGGGAAAAGGAGGGTAGAAGAGGATAGGGAAGGGAAAGAGAGGGAGGGAGGAAGAGTCAGGGTAGGCATGCCGTGAGGAACCACCGTGGACCGCACTCCTGCATAGACACTCCCCATGAGTACAGGAACAACCTGCGGCTTTCACACAGGTGATAGAACACAGCTCCCCTAACCATACAATATAGCGAAAAGAGGATTCTGCAGAGTTCGCTGCAGTCCCTAATCAGTTGGTATTGAGTTAATCATGGGGAATTTAGTCATGTAAACCCTTTAAACTTCTACTAACAAAGCAAGTATATGAAAGCATAATTCCATTAGAATGTAAATGCTCACATAATAAAACTTACAAATGGGGGGGGACATCTGAGCAAATTGCCTTGCATCATACTATGCTGTGTTGTACTATATGTTGTATTGTCTTGTATTGTACTGTACTGTTCCTCAAAGACAGATTTTTAACTTGACATGGTAGTATTATGCCACTGAATTCTAGACGTAGGTTCTGATGCTAAATGCAGATCCAGTGGTAGGCAAGAGTATGTCCCCAGACATAATTTGCATTCTAGACTCTGGAGTAGGTGACTTTTTCGTGATGCTGGTCTTTAAGAAGGGAGAAGGTTTTGTTCGGCTTCATCCATCCCTTTGGCTTAATGCCTAACCCAGGTTTTAACTGGGTAATCCTGAGGTTTCTGTGTCTTTCTGTACTTTGGGATATTTTGTTCTTAAATGATAGACATTTTCCAGGCTCGTGGGGGATAGACCCCTGCTTAGGTGAAGTCCTGGCTTCACTTTCTTCAGTCACTGCTGAAAAAAAAAAAATTCTGAACCTGCCTACCCTGACCTTTATTGCATAAGGCTCCCAGCAGAAAATGATGCTGACCTGTTAAGGTAAGAAAGTATCCACTCTCACTGCACGTAAATCAAGGACTGGGAAGGTAATATGAAGCAATGAGCAAATCCTATTGTAAAGTCTGGATCAGAGACATGGCACCTGTTTGTAATCCATGTGCAAAATAAAACACCCACAGCCAGAGACTTACGTAAATAACCGCTGGGAATTCTCTCTCTCTCCGTACCCTAGGGCCTCCTGGTCCATGAACCTGAAAGCAGCTGCAGTCTTTCTGGGAGTCTCATGCATCCAGCACTTGGGGGCCTCTACCATTGTGGTCCTGCTTCCTTCTCTGTCCCTGGTCACAGCCCTGGTGGCTCTTTACATGAGGCACTGCGACCTGATCTATCAGCCAGAGAAACGTGAGTCACAACTTATCATAGTTTGGTGGGGAGAGGGGGCAGATTTCTTATCTCCGTCTTAAATTGCATGCAGTGTCTTTGGACTCACAGAACTGCAGGGGTCCGAAGCCTGAGAATGTCCTGTGTCTGCCTTTACCTCCCCGTGTGGAACCAGCTCCAGCTCCCAGGCTCCACAGCTTCTCTGTCTCAGTCTGGTAGTCACGAAGCGCAACTGTCCTAGGGTCTCATTTGTCTATGTCATTGACAAACGGTTACGTTCATAATGCACATACACAGTATTACATATATAATACATATTATATATTGGGTGGATATGTATGTTAAATACTTTAAAAGCAAAATCTTTCTTCTGAATGTCATCATTGTTTACCGGTAAAGGAAGGTGTTTGTAGAGAGAAGTGAACTGCTTCATCTTACTTTACATTTGATTCTTGTTGCTTTGTTTCTTGACACAAGGTCTCATTATGTACAGCAGTTTGGCCTTGAACTCTCCATGTGTTCCACACTGGACTTAAACTCAGGATCCTCATGCCTCCACCTCCTAAGAGCTGGAGCTACAGGCATTTGTCACTGTGCCTCAATTCCAAATTTATTTTATTTTTAAAGATTTTAAGTATATATATATATATATATATATGTAATTTTTATATTTTTAAATATGTGTAATCTTTTATATTTTTAAAAATTATACATGTATATTTAAATTTTTAATGGTAGCATGTAGTGCAGTTGTCCTAAGAGGCCAGAAGAGGGCATCAGATATTAGATCCCCATGGAGCTAGAGGTACCAGCAATTGTGAACTGCCCAATGGCCCAATGGAGGCTGGGGGCTGTTTCTCTGCAAGAGTAGCAAGTACTCTTAATCACTAAACCATCTCTCAGCTTCTAAATTCACGTTTAATGGATACATCAACACATAAGGCATGCATATTGTTGAGGTATCATGTGATGTTTCAATATGGATATACATATTTTGTCTGTAATGTTTAAATTAAACACATTTCATTGCAGTAAAACATTCAAGATCTTTTTTTTTTTCCCTAGCTTTTTTAAATGCATGGACTTCAACTGAACTGGTGGTATATACTTGTGATTTCACCATTTGGAAGGTGTAGACAGGATTAAGGGTTCAAGGCTAGCCTCACATCAACCATATAAGCAAGTTTGAAGCCAGACTGAGGTACCTGAGACCCTGCCACAACAAAACAAGTAAAACACACAGCACATGGCTGTTACATCTGCCCTGCTTTACAATAGTGCACCCAACTTCCAGACTGTATCTAAGTGTAACTCTGCCCACCGAACAGTCTTCCCCATATCCCTCTATTACTTGGGTTCTCCAAAGGAACAGAATTGATGGACTGAGATATTTACTTCAATTAAGAAGTGTAGCCAGGTGGTGATGGCACGTGCCCTTAATCACAGTGCTTAGGAGGCAGAGGCTGGTGGATCTCTGTGAGTTCAATGCCCCTCCAGGTCTACAAATCAAGTTCCAGGACAGCTAGGACTGTTATGCAGAATAACCCCGTCTCGAAAAACCAAAATCAAAGAAACAAACAAAAAAGAAATGTAACGTCTTGGCTTTGTAGTCATAGCATCTACTGATTTCTTTACCCACATCTAGTATTGCCCATTAAGGGGGGAAAATGGGTCTGTACTATGTTCAGATGAGTCTTTCACGCCACATTTCTGAGCAATATAGCAAAGCAGGTTTCTCAGAACACTGATTTCTATATTCCCTCCATCACTCCTCAAAGATGGCAGCACTACTGGCTTTCTCCCTCTGGTTTCATCTCTGGATTTTACTTTGCTTGTTTATGTGATTTTATGAGTTTAATGTAAACCTATATGTTTACTAGTTCTTACTTTGTAACCTGTGGTTTTGGTATCATATCAGTGTACGGTATTCACCTCCTTGTGGAATACTCCCTTTAAACATATCCCCTGGTGTGTCACGCATGTGCTAACATGGGAGAATTTTCTTCATTTCCAATACTCCATTGTATATATCATATCATCTCTGGCAGTTTTAGACCTGTGACACTGACTTAGAACTCACTATGAACTCAATGATGATCTTGAACTGCTGACTCTTCGTCATCCAGATGTCTGGGTAAACAAGCTTGTGGTTCAACACAAAATGCACTTTTATCCACTCATCTCTTAGGACAGCTGAACAGAATGCAGGACTTGCCCGATGTAAATGCTGCTGTAGTGAATATAGGAGGGTAACACCCACAGGGACCCATGCCTTGGAGTCATATGCCCAGAAGTACATCTCAGCCTCTTCATGTCTGAGGGCACCTCCCGATGCTTTCTTCAACACCTGAATCTCCCACGATCCCACCCTCAGTACCCAGAGATACCTCACAGACTCTCCATGTTTTGTCAGCACTAATTTTCTCCTTTTAAGTGTGATCACGATGATGAAAGATGACTCATCATGATTTTGATTGGCATTTTCCAAAGGATTTTTCCCCTTTTATCAGAATCACCTCCAATTTATTTATTTACATTTATTTTTCTGAAACGGGATCTCATGTAGCCTAAGATGGCCATGAATGCATTGCACAGTCAAAGATAACATTGAAGCACTGATCCTCCTGCTTCAATTCCCAAGTGCTGGGATGGATTACTGATAGGAATTAAGGCACTCCACCTCCTCATCCACGTTTGGTAAAGCTTTGTACTTTTCAGTGTACAGTACTTTCACCTGCTTGGGTAAATTTACTTCTGAATACATATCACTTTGTGTGTGTGCTGTGGTGAATGGCACTGCATGCTACCACAATGTCATTGTATAGCACTGCATGGCACCGCAATGCCACTGTATGATACTGCAATGGCACTGGGTAGCATTGCATGCTACCACAATGGCATTGCATGTACGGCCTCCTTGACTTTCTCTAAGAACAGTCATTGTGGAGACACAAGTTAGCAATCAGGTTTTGATCATTAATTCTGCTTTCTTGTTCATTCATTTTTATTACTGATTTATGTTGTACCATAGTAAGTGCATAGCACATATCTGCAGACACAAACTAAGGTCAGAAGAGGGCATTAGACCCTCTGGAGCTGGAGTTAGCGGTGTTGCTGGGTCTCCAAACAGAACCCAGATCCTCTGCAAGAATAGCAAGCACTCTCAACTGCTCAACTGTCTCTCCATCCCCATCATTTTGAAGCCTGGAATTTTACTAAATGTACTTATTGGCTCTCACAAAAGTGTGTGTTTGTGTGTGTGTGTGTGTGTGTGTGTCCATGTCTGTGTCTCTGGGTGTGTGTCCATGTCTATATGTGCCTGTGTATGTATATTTGGTGCATTTAGAATCTTTTCATCTGAGAATAGTGATGTTTTTACTTGTTTCCTGAAATTCTGGCTTGCTTTCTTGTTTTCTATTTTTCTCCTGGTCTCTTTCACTTACTGTTATGAGTAGTTTTCTCACTGGCCTAGTCCCAGAGCCACACCAGCCCAAAATAACATGCAGAGATGTTGTATTAGATATAAAGCTGTTGGCCTCTTATTAGTGTTTCTTATTAGCTAGCTCTGTCTTAAGTATTAACTCATTTCTATTAATCTAAGTGTTTCCACATGGTCTTACCTTACCGGAGAGAGCACCCGGAGTTCTGCTCTCTTCGTCCAAAATGTTGAATCTCCTCCTACCTCTTCAGGAATCCTCCTTGTCTCCTAGTCCTGCCTATCTTGCTTTCTATTGGCCAACAGTGCTTTCTTTATTCATTAACCAATAAGAGAAACATATTTATAGAATGACATCTACCATCATGTTCTCTTTTCTGTCTAAAATAAAAAGGGTTTTAACCTTAACATAGCAAAATATATGACAAAACAGTTATCAAATAAGAACCACAATTAACAATATTTAGTCCATTAATATTTAGCAAGATTTAAAGAAAGATTTAAAGAAAATATTCTATCACCTATCCTATCTTTGTGAGTCTAATCCTATATGTAACTTATCTTTAATCCTAACTAAGGAAAACTATAACCATAACTATCTGTCTTCAACTCCTTTAAAGACCACACAAGGATAATACATAAACTCTAGAAATGACAAAGACATCTCGCTACCTGGTCAGTCACCTGTATTGGCAGTTTGCCAGTCACTTTTCTCTGTGTCCTGCGGAATGTCTGACAGACTCTTCCATGAAGCAGGAACCCTACAGCAATGTCCATCTTGTATAAGCAGTCACTTTCCTGTGGGTCCTGCATGTCCATTTTATACAGCATAAATTCAAACAGTCGGTTTCTTAACCAAATGGTTACTTTTGCCATATTGAAAATAAACTCCATAATGAGTTTCTTCCATGTCCATCTTCCTTTCTGACGCAGATGGTGTTGCCAGGAGCAGTTATGTCTCGTTGTCAAGAAAAACCCTAACCCATTTTAAATGTCATATTCTGTAGGTCTTTGAAAGGTTTGAAGAATACCAATCCATCTCAAATATATCTCTGTATATTTAGAAATCCTAACTAACTTAACTATAAGTTTTGACTAGTATAGGTAACTATAATTTGTACTTAATTATACATTATCTTTTTAAATGAGCTATATAAACACAATACCTAAACAAGAGGAGAAATATACATATCACAAAATTGACTTTAAATTTGTATCAATAAATGAAAATCCATTCCAAAACAAAGTTTTCATTTCTAGAAAATAATCCCCTTTTTACCTTTAAAAAGAAATTGGTTGTGGCTGTTAACCATTTTTAACCAACCCCATTGAAAAGAAAACAAACATTTATAGATAATATTTGGGAATTTGGGCGTCGTTCTTTCCAAACTGCTTCCTGCTGTTAGGGGGCGCTGTCTTGGGGAATCTTAAGATGTAGAAATCCTGGCTGTAGTCTGTAAGGCTGCCTTGTCCAAGTTGTTTTGAATGTTGGATCACCTGGGACACTGTTTCAGGGAGTCTGGCTTGATCAAACCATGTTAGTCTGAAAGGAATCCACAGCTTTTCATTTTCTGTGGAAACAAAA